GGGGGGGGGGGGGGGGGGGGGGGGGGGGGGGGGGGGGGGGGGGGGGGGGGGGGGGGGGGGGGGGGGGGGGGGGGGGGATGTGAAGGAGGAAGCAGGAAGGAGCGTGAAGGAAGGACACAGCGATGGCGCCATGGTTGTGATGATCTGTGAACAGGCACGTGGATGGGAAGAGACTCTGCGGGAAGAGATTCCTAAGAGAGAGGGAGGAGGGGGTGGAAAGAGACGTGAGGGGAAAGTACAAGTTGGGGAAAAAAAGAGACACGTGCTTGGAACAGACTTGCCAGGAAGATCGAGTGGTAAGCAGTCGATAGGAGAAAGACGTGACGTGAAAGTAGGAGGTGGAGAAGGAGAGGGAGAGGGAGAGGGAGAGGGAAGAAGGGGAGATGACTAAGACACATCTGCTCCCGAGTTTCGGTCGACTCTGGTCTTCCGGTTTTGTCGAGGGCCCTTGATGACCTTACACTGAACTTCTCGAGTTTTTTTTTTTTTTTTTTTTTTTACCTCTCGAGTTTTGAAAAAACGTGTTCAGAGGGGAAACTCGTTCGAATTTCTGGTTCTCCAAGTCAAACTTCTTATCTCAACGAGGTAAATTACGCTGACCAGATGTGAGAGCTTGAATGCTTGAATGCTTGTGGAGGCGGCATTTGCGTACAACAGACATCAGGACAATGAGGGAGGTGTGTGACTTCTACGTTGTGGCGTCGCTGGCCTCATCCCTGCCACAATATGATATGATGCTTTCTGAGCTCCTGTCGTGTGCCGCTAAAAAACCGCCGGCAGTGTTGCTTGCCATGGGCTACTTTGATCTTCTTGCTGTAAACACATGGGCACTTTTTTTTTATCTTCTTGCTGTAAACAGTGTAAGGAAATTGGCGGGAGATCTGATCTGATGTGATCGAGAGAGAGCCTGTATGGAAAGTGGCGGGAGATTTGGTCTGATGTGATCGAGAGCCTTCGTTGTGCGCCGTCGATATGGATGCACACCGTAATCACGCGAAAACAAATCGGCGGTGGGAGATCGTTTAGGACCATGATGTGACAAGTGCGAATAGCAAATTGGCGGGAGATATTGTATAATCCTGATTTGACCAAATCCTGTAGCAAATTGGCGGGATATCATCAACGCTGCAGCAAATTGGCGGGAGATAGTGTGTATGGTGATGATAGGATCAATGCTGCAAGCAAATTGGCGGAAGATCGTGTATGATGATTACTTCTTATTGGCGGGAGATAACGTATGCGATGATGTGACCGATGGTGTAATCGAATCCGTGGTAGACATGATGTGAGCATTCAGCAGGTCGTCATGGCTTTAACACCGTAACCACGCAGAACTATCCGGTCGTCATTCCCCGTTTGCCGCCTCGTATGTATCTGACCCCGTTTTCGCACTATAGGACCGCTCACACCCGTTGCTTGATGCAAGTACTATTGTTCCACGTAAATCTCGGGTACTGCCTTTGCGAATCACATTACATCGGTGATTTCCAGTGTATATGTCAGTTAAGACCGTGCCTCTGCGTTTATTGTGAGTGAGAGTGCGCGTGTGCGTACGAGCGTGTGTGTGTGTGTGTGTGTGTGTGTGTGTGTGTGTGTGTCTTGTGTGTCTTGTGTGTGTGTGTGTGTGTGTGTGTGTGAGAGAGAGAGAGAGAGAGAGAGAGAGAGAGAGAGAGAGAGAGAGAGAGAG